AGCAGAAATAATAGTTTTCTCATTCCTGGCTTTCAATTGAATGCATTTAGAATTATATTTGCTGTAGATCTGGGATAGATAGTCCTTTTAAAGTCAAGCAATTTTCTCCTCTGTGTTTATTGTTTTTTTTCAAAATCATGAACAGATGTTGACTTGTATTGAATGGGTTACTGCATTAAGATAATCATAAAGTGCCTTTCTTTTTCTCCCTTGGGTCCCAGCTCTATCCTGGTAGTTCATGTCAAGGTCAAGGCTGTAGAGATTTTCCTTTCTTGCTCTAGCCCATATGGCATGAATGGAGCTGTCTCCACTCCCAGCCCTCATGGTTAAAGTGGAAGCTGAGGCTTTCTGGAATTTTCTATGTGGAATATTACAAGCTGCATACAATGGCATTGTTTTGGTGCATTGTTTTGCTTACAAAACATCTGTAAGCTTTAAAAAGCAAGAACTCTTTTCTATTAGGAACCAGAGAAGGAAGTAGTAAAGGAAGTGATGAGAATTCCACTCTGAAGCAATCTTTTAAAACAGAGCTCATAAATCCAAAATGTTAGGTGATACGACAAAACTAACAGGACTTAAGAAACAAAGAACTCCCACTCATCTGGTCGAACCACTACTAAATATCCCCATGCTGCTGATCACATGTATGGTGTATAACATGTGAACACCATTATATGTTACAGACTGTGATAGACAATTTGCTCCAGGAAAGTTAGAATGAACTTGTGACTTTAAATGAGTATCATTATTCCACAATACTGTGAAATTCCGGAAATTATGCAATCACTTAATCACAATAAATAAAAAAAAAAGAACCTCGGGGAAGGTAGGGAGGGAAGGGATGGTAGGGGGAAAACAATGGAGGGGGTAACAATGTTCAAGAGCAAGTGTACTCATTACCTCACTCATGTAACTGTAACCCTCTGTATAGTATCTTTACAATAAAAAAAAAAGAAATGTACTCATTATCTTGCCCATGTAATTGTAACCCCTCTGTATAGTGTTTTCACAATAAATTAAAAAAAAAAAACAGAGCTCAGTGTGCTCCTTCTACACATGAGCATTTTGAAGCTCACAGAAGTGAAATAACTGCCCACAGTAATGGCAGAGTGAAAATCCTTGTTGAACGGCCCCACATCTTGTGCCTGGATTCTCCCAACCAGATTATCACTAGTGTACATCTTCCTTTCTCTGATCCTTGGAACCTCAGTGGAAAGCATCTCCTAGTTGGGTCCAGCTGTCCCATTCAATCTCTTGGCAGTTCTACAGTTCGAAGCACTGTGGCCCTCTGACCCTTCTCCAGGCCCTCCTGGGTACACTGATGGATGTAAATCCTGTCATGGCTGTGAGTACTGTGTATGTGCATGCATGAGTGAGCAGGGATGAGCAGGTCTGAGTTCCTCTCTGGAAAAGAGATGGCAGCTGAGAGAGGCTCTTATTCTGCTTTTATTAGACCCTTAATGTTGTTTGGTTTGCTCCTGTTCTTCTGACCACAAGCTGATTGGCTCCAATTAGTGGCCAACCTGATAAAGGTCTTGGAAGCTGTATCTAAGACTGTGGAAGATCTCTGCCTTCAATTTCTGTTCTGCCCCAGGATGCATTCTTTAACTTCTCTGGGCTCAACTACCTGAGGCTGAATCTGCATTTAACTCTATTCCTGTGAGGAGCTCTTTGGGACCTAGATAACTTCATAACTTCTTCGAAGTACCACTTCTTCTGATCTCCCAATGCCTTTGAGATTCTCCAAAGCAACTTAAGTTCTTGGGCCCATGGTTGAATGGCAACTTGGGTGTCCAATTACCTCCTGTTTACCACAGCTGATTGTTGAGTATAGGTGTCTCCAGGATGTGAATTAGCTGGCTCACATCTTTCCAGATCTGGTGTATGACTCCTCCTTTGGGGATGCTTGGATCTGGACATGTTGAATCTGGGATTCAACAGACAGCTAAAGATGGCTAATCCTTGTGCTTGTTAATACCTCCAACTAGGAACTCTGTATATGGACCACATGAAAATAGAGGCAGTTACAGGGATGGGCCAGCAACTGCAGGGGCTGGATGTCCTGTTTATGATGGTCACTGCCATAGCAGAGCTGCCTGTAAAGGCAGTGGCCCACTTGGGACAACAACAGCTGAATTTGTGAACCAGCCAGGCTTTGGGAGGCTCTGGAGGCTGAATGAGAAAACTTGGGAGGTAGCAGGTGGCCATGTGGTATGTGATAAGATCTCAGGATCTCTAAATCCTCCAGAATTTTCTAATTTCATCAAATGCTTGGCTTGATTGCTCTTCCTTCCTTCTTCCTTTTTCTCTCTCTCCTTTCTTCCTTCCTTCCTTCCTTCTTTCCTTCCTTTCTTCCAACTCACCTTATTTAGAAGCTAAACTGCTTGCTTTTTAGCCATGTGACTTTGGGATGCTACTGAACTTCTCTGTACCTCATTTTCCTCTTGGTGTTCTAAAAGATGTGATAGCATTACACACATTCTCAGAGGATTTCATGAGGCTCAAATGAGTTAATATGGTTGAAGCACTGAGAGTAGGAGCTAATAATGCATTATAAATATTCAATGAGGGTTAGCAATTATTACATGTAAATCATTTATGTCAATGTGTATAGGCTGGAAGGATGTACTTCCAAATGTTTTACCCATAGGAGTGTCTGATTGGAAAAATTTGGAGATCAGGCCCTGGAGGCAGCAACCAGTGTTGATTCATCTTGCATAATTGGAGCCCAGTTGAAAGAGAGTTCTGAGAACCAAAGGTACCAAATACTTGCAAGTTCTGATGGGTGCAAAACCAGAGAGAATATAGGTATAGTTCAGGCTCTGTTGTTTATTTCTGTGTGATATTGAACAGGGCACTTGGCCTCTTGGGGACTTCCTTAGTTTTCATCTTTGTAAAGTGCGAGTCTAGAATTAGACAAAAGCTAAGAGGAACCACAGAGCAATTCGACGCTGGATTTAGGGTAAGGGGCGCCCTCTTGTGTTCTAATAGTGTCTTTCCTTTTGGTATAGATCATCATCATTTCAGTTCCTCCTCTTCAGAGCAGCTGAATCAAGAGTCCTTCCCAGACCTGCAAAGCTGCATTTCCACCTTCAGATCTGACATTCTCTTGGTGTCTCTCACATACCCAGTACATCATATTGTGGCACAGTCTACCCACAAAGTCCTTCCCACCTTCTGCCTACCATCTTTTTCACACAATGTCTTAGAAATTTGCCCAAGGGTTCAAGTTCCAGCCCTGGTATGTATTGCCTATATGATCTTGAGCTGGTCACTTATCTCTATAAGCTCCTATTTCTTCTTTGTAAATTGGGGACAGCAATACCAAACATGTAGGGCTGTTGTGAGGCTTTAATAATGAGTACTCACAGATTGCCATTATATGTACCTCTACTGAGTAAAATTACATGACATATTTCTTCTTCTTCTTCTTCTTCTTCTTCTTTTCTTCTTCTCCTTCTTCTCCTTCTTCTCCTTCTTCTCCTTCTTCTCCTTCTTCTCCTTCTTCTCCTTCTTCTTCTTCTTCTTCTTCTTCTTCTTCTTCTTCTTCTTCTCTTCTGCCAGTCCTGGGCACTGTCCTTGAGCCTCTCTATGCTCAAGGTTAGCACTCTACCACTTGAGCCAGAGTGCCACTTCCGGCTTTTTCTTTTATGTGGTACTGAGAATCGAACCCAGAGCTTCATGCATGCTAGGCAAGCATCTACTGCTAAGCCACAGTCCCAGCCCTAACACATTACTTTTAAATAAGCATAGTTCACAGAGAAGGAATTTGAACTAGATTATTTAAACTAAGATATAGAATTCTCCTATTTTTTTTAACACTAGCCACTACCATCTTCTGCTAGATAATTTCAATGTGTCCAAATTCTCATAACCATTAATAAGAATCATAGTTGAACTTTGTGGGTCAGACACATGCCATGCTCTTGATTTACTTTCTCCCATTTATTTCTCTCAGCAACCCTGTCGTAAGATTTTTTTTTTTTTTTAATTTTCATCCCCACTTTCTAGATGAGGAAATTGAAACATGAAGAGGTTTAGGAATTTGTCCAAGGTTTCATATCTTTGTGCCACTCACTAATTTTTTTAGCTAGTGAGCTTGAAAATGAGAAGTTTTAGACACAAGCAGCTCAGCTCCAGGGACCATATTTTTCCCACATCATGTCATTTAATCCTTTACTGCCATGTGGTTTCTGTTATACCTGCTTTTGCAGGTTAAAAAAAAGAAAAGAAAAGAAAAGCAATGAGGTTCTTATTCAAGGCCACACAGAAAAGCAGCTGGGTGGGGATTTGGATCCATATCTGACTACAGAAGCCACATTTTTAACTCCATAGATGATTGCTCACACCTCAAAAGATTCACAATGGAACAAAGGCACTACATATTATATCATTACAGGTATAGTCTATAATAATGATTAACATTAACACCCACAAAATGCCAAGCACTATACAAACGAATTTACATAATAATGGATAATATTCTCCGGACATTATTAGCTGTACTTTCTAACATAAACCGGTGACAAAGTGCTTTCCTGTAGATCTCATTTTACAGATTAACAGGCAAGGTTCAGAATTCATCCCAAGCTGGAAACTGAACCTCAGATTCTCCAATTCTCTACTGATTATCTGGTTTCCTCCGCTTTTCCCTTATTATTTATTATTTCTGCTTTGCTGTCTTGGGGCGCTGGAGGTGGGGGTGGAGAGGGTCTTCAATGAATCCCACCCATTTTGCTCTGGTGCCCGCCCACCTTGAGGATGTCATTACCACTGAGCCAATAGAAATGGTCAGAATCGCATCAGGTCCCGCCCCCCAGGCATTGAACCTGTTCCGATTTGTTCCGGTGCTAGAGTTCATGAAAAGAACACATGCCTATTGGCTGATGACATTTGAAAGACGGCAGAAGAGGGAGCCACTCACCAGCTCTCGCGCGGTGCCTTCTGGGAGTTGTGGTCTAAGAACCTAGATTCCCGGGGTGGCTTCGTCGGGACTCAGCGTCCCAGCATCCCCCGCGTGAGCCCCGGAGCACTTCCGCCCGGTTGTGAAGTGGGTGTCTCGGTGGGTGAGTCCGGGTGGTGGGGCGGGGGCATCCGAGACTCAGGCAGGGGTTGGAGGCTTAGGCGGTGGTAGAGTCTGTCACAGGGGGGCTGGGGAATGTGAGAGGAGAAAAGCAATTTCAGTGGGGTGGAGGGTGAGGGGCGTCAGGGGATGGGCAGGGTCATGAAGGGGTCGGGGACGAGGAGGGAGTGTGAGGCCCAGGGACTGAGAAGGGACCTTAGAAAAGCCTGTGTGTGCGTGAGGAGGCAAAGGCAGGTTTTGGAAGTGGGGAGTCACCTCGGGTATGTGTGTGTGTGTGTGTGTGTGTGTGTGTGTTGGGGGGGGGGGTGTCTGGAGAGAATACCAGGGGAAGGTAGGACGTTTGGGGGCCTTGGCACGTGAAGAAAAGAGGGCCCGATCGTAAAAATCGCATTTCATTTTCTATCTGCCCGCCTAGACCATTTAACATGTTATCCCCTCTGCTGGTTGGTACTGCTATTAGAACCTGCCAGGCTGGACTGTCATGCTCTGCCCTAAACCCGCACTTCTTTCCGTATTCCTGATGGAAGTGAGTGGCATCGCCATCCACCTTGCCCACTTACATCACCTGATCCTTTTGTATTCATTCTTTAACACTCACGGATCGTCGCTCCGTTTGCCCTCTCTAATACGTCTTGAATCTGCCCCCATTGTGTGAAAACTTTCACAGAAATGTTCATCTTTTTGCTTCTGCCTCCACAGTGGTCAGATACATTGTTGCCAGTATGATCTATTTAATCCCTCCACATCTCCTGCTCTCATCACGTGTTAGATTAAGTTTAAACATCATAGCCTGATACTCCAGACCCTTCATAAACTCCCTTCACAGCCTGATTGTCCTATCTCTCAGCAGGGCTGTCAAGGGTTTTCCCCATTTGTTGGGAAGGCCATTTGGTTTTCTACCATTATGTATGTTTATGTTGTTCTTTCTGCTTAGAACACCCATCTCCCCATTCTTTGTCAAGAGATCCACTCTTTCTTCAAGAACCAACATAACTGTTACTCTGTCAATAGATACTTGGTGAAAGTGTGAATAGAGATGATCAGGGCAAACTTTGTTATTATACCAGATTGCCATGGATTTCCAGGGGCATGAACTTTAGTCTTCTGTCTTTTTGGCTGTCTGCTGGAAGAAACATACTTGACAGCGAAGCATAGGGGTATGTGAGAATCGGGCTGGGAAGGGTATTCATGAAGGGTCTGGAGTATCAGGCTATGATGTTGTTTGAACCTAGTAGAAGCTGAGGCTGATTCAGTGCAGATGGTAATGGCAAGACAGGAGGTGGCAAATACCTGGAATGTATGCTGCCACTTCTGTTTTATCCATAATAGACAACTTGGGAGCCATATTACTAAGCATGCTACTCTGTTCTAGGCAGTCACCTTCAATTGATTGGAATTGATGCTCTAAATGAAACCTATTTGATGTCCCTAAGGTTTATCACCTTAAATGAGATCATTTTGCTTTAAGACATCAGCCAAGGGGGACTGACAGCCATTGAGAGCTCCCTGATTCTGCTTGGAAGTCGCAGACCAGTCTTGGCCTTTCTCCTAGTCCTGAGGAGAATCTTCTGCTTCCCATTACAGTTCATGAGAAGGCAACCTCCTCATCTTCCCATTTATACTCAATACCCCAGGACCCAAGGTGCTTCTTAGCTCCTTATTTTTAAAGTGATTTTCATGTTTTCAGCTGTCTGAATGACTACCATATACACAGGAAAGTGTGTGGGAAAGGAATGGTTTAAAAGACCAATGTGGGCTGCAAATGTGGCTTAGTGGTAGAGTACTTGCCTAGCACACATGAAACCCTGGGTTCGATTCCTCAGTACCACATAAACAGAAAATCCTGGAAGTGGCACTGCAGTGGTAGAGTACTAGCCTTGAGCAAAAGAAGCTCAAAGACAGAGCCCAGGCCGTGAGTACAAGCCCCAGGACTAGCAAAAAAAAAAAAAGAGAGAGAAACCAACAGCAATGGGAGGATTTGAATCTGGGCCTATCTCCTAGCTAACTCTACCACTTGCTGGTTGTGTAACCTTAGAAGAATCTTCTTTGTAGAACTGAGGCATACAATGTTATTAATTGAGAATACAATGGGGTCATACTTTATTAGATACATTCTAACATCAGCACAGAAAATGAAAAGTTACACTAGACAAAAATCAGTGCTTGGAAATCCTCAACAGAAAGCAAGGCTTACGGGAACTAAGACCAGAGTAGGGAGTGGCACAATCATGGGTATCGTCTTCACATGATCATGCTGTAACAGATGTGGTGATTGGATTGGATGCACTGTTTCAATTATGTTATTTCTCTCTTCCTGGTCTTGGAATATAGTGGAGGTTGTAGGTAAGTGGAATGCAACTAAGCCCTAATAACACACCATTGGCTTGCCTGGTGAGAATTGCCACCATTTGGTGAGAATATGAATGTAGATCACTTGACACTCAATGGCCATTCTTTCTAGTCCTAGTGAAGCCTAGATATTCCTGATAGTTTCAGGACTGAGGATTGCCTTGTCTAGGTCTGGGCTCACTATGTTGACCTCCTCTCCACAATAGACTGTTATCCATAGTTGTCTAAGAAAGGAGTGGGAAAATTTTAATATATGGTCCTTTCAGTTTTCTGTTTTCTATTTGAGACTCACTTTAGGGATTTTCTTGTCTTCCCAGAAGAAAATACCAATTATTGGAGACTCTTGGCTTTGGGCCTGATGGTATCGCTGCTTGCCTGATGGTTGTGATATCTTCTATGAAGGACCCCAAAAGTCTCTGCTTATTATTGTCTCTCACTAGATGGTAGCTTTCATGAAGACAGGGACTTTCTGGCCTAGCTATTGTTGGATATTTAGCTCCCAGTACAATGTGAGTGAATGACTAATAAATTAACCCTTGTGCAAAACAGAGACAGAAATGTGTTTGGACTAGTGCCTCAGAAACGTGGTAGTTTAAAAATCATGAACAGTTCTTTAATAAACGTAGACCATGCCCAATAGATAGGTCATCAGGTTTTTGCCATGTCCGATTTATGGTTTGAATAAAAAAATTACAAAACTTTTTAACGAGCCTGCTATTTATTGGACACTGCATCAGATACTAGCTATACAGAATGGATGGTCCTATTAATATAGCCTAATGGGGCTGTAGGATATAGGAACAGATAATTTCAATAATGTGGGAGAACTCATATCTCAAGAGGTGTGTTCCAGCCACTTTGGGAACAGAAGATCTGGGAGGCATTTTTTTGGTGAGCAGGGAAAGCGTGGGCACAGGGTATCTCAAGGAGGTAACACATGGTCTGGTGACTGAAACATAAACAGGAAGTTGCTTCCATGTTCTGGCCCAGGGTTCTAGTCTAAGGTTAGGCATAGACTCAAGCATGTAACTCTGTGCTGTCCACCCAAGGGACCTGGCTGCTGGCTTTGCTTCCAGATCCTGGTCTAACTTCCTGTCTATAGGAAAGGAGCATCTCTCAGCACTCTGTGCTTTGCAAAAGTGGTGGAAGGTTTGGAGGAAGTGAGGAAAGTAGTACTCATGGATCCTCTTGCTTACTCTGTCCATTGTATTTTTGCCTTCATAGTCCCTCCCCCAGGACCCCTTTGAAGAACACATCATTGATGAAGGAGGTTACCAGATGAGGACAGCACAGCTGAAGATGGCTGTGGCCCTGGAATCTGAGGTCCAGACCCCTCCCCCTCCAGGGCCTGAAGACCTTTTGATTGTGAAACTGGAGGAGGACTCCTGGGGATCAGAATCTAAATCCCAAGAGAGGGGCCAAAACCCTGGCCTTGGTCCTGGTCCTGAGGTCTCCCGCCAGCGCTTCAGGCAGTTTCAATATAGAGATGCAGCCGGACCCCATGAAGCCTTCAGCCAGCTCTGGGCACTCTGCTGTCATTGGCTGAGGCCTGAGATTCGCCTCAAAGAACAAATCCTGGAGCTGCTGGTGCTGGAGCAGTTCCTGGCCATCTTACCCAGGGATATGCAGACCTGGGTGCAGGCACACCATCCTGGGAGTGGGGAGGAAGCGGTGGCCCTGGTGGAGGATTGGCACCGAGAGGCTGAAGCTGCCGGACAGTGGGTGAGGCAAATAGTTTGTTCTCCAAAACACCATCTGGGCAAGGTAGCAGGGCTATGATTAGGCTAATAATTGCCCTAAATCACAATATTGCTAACAGTGTTTACTGAACAAACAATGTTGACTTAGCACTGCTCTCTAGCAGGTACTGTTCCAATTGTTTTACTTGTGTTTGCTTATTTAATCCTGTTAGCATTTTTTCATAAGAGTAGTTACTATTAATTTTACCAATGAGGAAACAGGCAAAGAACAGATAGTCAGTTTGCTCAAGGTCACACACAACTCCCAGATGGAAGAGCCAGGATTTGAGTTAGTTTGTTTTGTTAGTTTGACAGTAGAGCCTGCCATCTAACCACTAACATAAACTGCCTCCTAGTACCTTACTCAATGTGATTGATGTGTTATGCTTTATCTTTAACACAGTCAGTCTCTTTGGATGTTTGTGGCAGAAATGAATGTAGAAATAAACAATATTTTCATTCTTATTTCATAGACTAAAGCCCTAAAAGTCAAATAGCTCACAGAGATAACTCATTTGATGGACCATAGTCTAAATCCTAAGCCTTAGGTTCCAAAGTCATTGTCTTTTCCACTGCAGATATAGATGCCTTTCTGCAAACCATGGAAACAATACTGCTGAGTTCATGAAGCCCAGGTGTAGTATAAACTAACATTTTGTGAGTGATCATTGTGTGTTTGTTTTAGACACTGTTCTAGAGCTTTCCCCCCGCTTTTTTGATGATGCTGGAGTTTGAATTCAGAGCCTTACACTTGCTACGCAGGTGCTCTACCAGTTGAGCCAAGCATCTAGCCTTGTTCTTAGGTTTTAAATATTTATATCCCTCATCTAATCAACTCAGCAACCAAAAGGTAGTTAATGTTGTCACTGATGTTTTTCTAGTGGGTCAACAAACAGAGGTAAGTAACTTGTCCATATTTATATAGCTAGATGGTAGAGCTGAGAAAAAGGAAGTGTGGTATTATGTATTTAACAGTCACAGTTTCGATCATTTGCAAGGAACCCTAGAGACATTTGATATAATATAATCTTGCTATGACATGGAGAATTTTAAATCCTGCCTCAAAGCTGGTGTATGTCGGCAGTTCCTTTAGCAGGCTATGGTTTGATCCATAACCTTCAACTAAACATAACCCTGCCTTTCTCTATTTGTTATAGTCACAAATTCTTATGACATCATACCTAATCCTGTTTTGCTGAGGAACATAATAGATTTGAAAATGTATGGCCTGCAAGTGGCAGGGGCTTTCTGTACACTTACATTGTAAACTTCTACACAGATGTGAATTTATGACAAGAAAAGGTTAAGGTCTATGCTTTCCTTTACAGATAATAATTAAAGTAGGAGAACTGAGTCTGAGGGAATGTGCCTTTTTATAATATACTTCCCAAGCTCCATATTATTTCTTTTTGAAGAAATTAGCTATTAGTCTATAGCAGTGAAGAAACAATTGGAAGTCTTAGGACTTCAGAGCTGGAAGAGGCAGAACTTGAGACCAATAGGATGAGCCTTGACTTAATTAAGTTCTTCTGATTCTTCTCTAAAGTGAGAGGGTTGGACTAGAAAAAGGTTATCAAATTAGGCCTCTTGTAAGTGTATCAAAAGTTGAACTGTTTCTAAAATGGAGGAAAAAAAAAAAGGTAACAGAATCTTCTCTACTTTTCTATGAGTTTTTTAAATTAAAATTTAAAATTACTTTCTCCTGAATGTTCATAAATTTTGAAACAAATAGATTTGTAAGAATGGAGCTTGCCTTTCTTCAGACATGTATATCATAGCTTGTGGTCTTGAGTTGCAAGGCACCTGTCCATATTATCATCTCTGCAGATAAAATGTTTCCAAATGTTGGCAAGGGAGTGAAATATATTACACTCCTCAGAGTGAAAAACCACCACCTAGCAAATGTACCTATGTTTAAGGTTAAGTGGCCTCTGAGAAAATTTCCCCCAAATAATCTTTCAGTTCTGCTATTTGTTTTTTAGCTTTTAAAAAAATTATCATCACTTTTTACAAAATCCCACTCTTCAACAAGAACACAGATAAGTTTTTTTTTTTTTTTTTTAAATGGACTTTAAACCGGGCACAGGTGGCTTATGCCTGTAATCCTAGCTACTCAGGAGGCTGAGATCTGAGGACTGTGGTTCAGAGCCAGCCCAGGCAGAAAACTCTGTGATATTCTAATCTCCAATAAAACCATCAGAAAACTGGAAGGGATGTTGTGGCTCAAGTGGTAGAGTGCTTGCCCTCAGCTGAAGAGCTGAGGGACAGTGCCCAGGCCTAGAGTTCAAGCCTCATGATAGACTAAATAAATAAATAAATAAATAAAATGGACTTTATTTTTTAGAATAGCATTAGGTTCATAGCAAACTCGAACAAAAGATAGAGTTCTCATTAGTCTCTGGCCTTTCTCCAAGCCCTATCATTAACAGTGTCCCCCACTCCCATGTTACATTTTGTACCATCAGTGAACATACACTGACATATCACGATCATCACAAGTCTATAGTTTATACTAGTGTTTACTCTGGGTATTGTATATTCTGTGGGTTTTGGCAAATTGGAAATTATATATACTACCATTATAGTGCTTTACAGAATAGTTTTGACTACCCTAAAATTCTGTGTATTCTACCTACCTATCATTTTCCCTCTCTAACCCCTGGGGCTGCTGATACATCTTCTGTCTTCATAGTTTTTTCTTTTCTAGAGTGTCACATAGTTGGAATCACACCATTCGTAGCATTTTTTTTTAATTGGCTTCTTTTACTTGATAATACATCTTAAGGTTTCTCTGTGATATTTCATAACTTGTTAGTTCATTTGTTTTTGTTTTCTTGTTGTTGAATAGTATTTTGTTGTCTGGATAGGCTACAGTTTACTTATCCACTCACTTATTGGAGGACATGTTGGTTGTGTTTTTGTAGTTTTGGTAGTTACATATAACACCATTCTGAGGCTTTTGTATAGACTCACATTTGCAGTTCACTTCAGTAAAGAAGCTGCCAAATCAACTTCCAAAATGGCCATGCCATTGTGTTTTCACCAGCAATGAATTACAGTTCCTGTTCTACGTCCTTGCTAGCGTTTTGTGTTGGGCTTTGCATTTTGACCATTCTCTTAGAAGTATCTCTAAGTATCTCATTTTAATATGAAGTTTATTTTCTCTGAGACATTATTTGAACTCAGTATCTGATGCTTTTACTGGCTGGCACTCTACTACCTGAACCATATCTCCAACCTCTAATTTGAAATTTCTTATAATAAATGATATGGAACATGTCTCACATGTTTGTTTATCATCTTTACAGTTTCTTTGGTGAAGTGTCCAAGGTTTTGGTCATTTAAAATTTTTGAAATTCAATTTAAAAAATTCTTTGTTTTATATAGTAGTTTTTGATCAGTTGAATCTTTTGAAAATGTTTTCTTCATCTTGTTCTCTAGACAGAATATTTCATAGAACAATTTTTAATCTTAAAAGACAGCTTAATACTTTTTTTTGGTAGATTATTCCTTTGGGCAAACAGCCAGTTACCATACTTAAGACCTTCTAAGTGTTCCCTTCCATTATGTCCAAACAGTTTTTATAGTTTTGCCCTTTGTTATTTAGGTCTTTAGTTCAATTTGAATTAATTTTTGTGAAAGGCCTAAGTGTGCATCTAGACTTGTTTGCTTTTTGCAGTTGATGCCCATTTTGGACCATATTACTATTGCTTCACTATCTTGCTTTGTTGTTCTGTTATAGTCCAGTTCACTATATTTATGTGTGTCTATTTCTGGGGCCCTGTTCTTTTCCCTCTGACTTCAGTTTATTCTTTCACCAATTTTGCATTACCTTGGTCACTGTAGCTTTATTGTAATTTTTGAAGACATACACAGTCCTTGGTATTTGTTCTCCTTCAGGACTGTGTTAGTTATACTGGGTCCTTTGCCTCTCCATATAAACTTTAGAATCAGTTTGTCAATATTCGCAAAATAATGTGCTAGGATTTTGATGGGGACTACAGGTACGGAAAGCCCCTCCCATTTGTAGCCCATACATTTTCAAGCCTATTATTTTCCTCAACAAAACAGGATTAGGTATGATGTCTTAAGAATTTGTGACTATAACAAATGAAGAGTAGCAGGTTGAAGGTTATGGGTCAAACTATAACCTGCTAAAGAAACTGCTTATATACAGCAGCTTTGAAGCAGAATTTAAAATTCTCTGTGTCATAGCAAGATTACATTATATCAAATGTCTCTTTGCAAATGAGCAAAACTGTGAATGTTAAATACCTAATACCACACTTCCCTTTTCTCAGCTTTACCACTTAGCTATATAAATATGGATTACTTACCTCTGTTGACCCACTGGAAAAACATCAGTGATAACAGTACCTACCTTTTTGGTTGCTAGGTTGATGAGGGATACATGGAATATTTCTTCTTTTGTTTAGTCCTTTATATCTTTCATCATAGTTTTAGTTTTCTTCCTATAGTGCTCAAATATATTTTGTTAGAGTTATACTTAAGAATTTTATTTTATTTTATTTTTGCTAGTCCTGGGGCTTGAACTCTGAGTCTGGGCATTATTCCTGAGTGTCTTTTTTGGGGGGAGGGGGTCCGGTTGTGGGGCCTGAACTCTGGGCCTGGGCGCTGTCCCTTAGCTCTTCAGCTCAAGGCTAGCGCTCTCCCACTTGAGCCATAGCGCCACTTCTGGCTTTTTTTTCTGCTTATGTGGTGCTGAGGAATCCAACCCAGGGCCTCATGCATGCAAGGCAAGTGCTCTACCACTGAGGTACCTTCCCAGCCCACCCCTGAGTGTCTTTTTGGCTCTACCACTTGAGCCATAGTACCACTTCCAGCTTTTTTAGAGTAGTTTATTGGAAATATGAGTCTCATGGACTTTCCTGCCTGGGGTGGCTTCAAACTGCAATCCTCAGATCTCAGCCTCCTAAGTAGCTAGGATTATAGGCATGAGCCACTGATGTCTGGAAGTATTTC